TGGGACGTCGATCTCCCTGATGCCCTGCCCAGTTGGAGTCGGAGGCCCCACAGCTGTGAAGGTAGCAGCCGAGGGCACCGAAGCCAGCCGCGAAGGGATGAAGCCAAACAGTGCGTGCACTGTTTTGGACTACCGTGCCTATGTTCCTTGGCTGCCTAGGGATAATGGGAGCCCTAACCCTGAAAGGACGTGAAGGGCACCGGGTTGCCTCGCTCTGGGGCAGGTGGATGGGCAGCCGTGGTGAAACTGTGGGATAGAGGTGTGGGAGATCCCCCTCTACCCTCAGAGTCATTGCGACCGTCCCACAATTTAAGAGACGCAGAAGCCGGTTTTCTGGTCAGGCTTCGCTTTTGGGCCAAGATCAGAACCGCCTTTCGAAACTGTGAAATGGTTCCCTTCTCACCCTGAAGACCCTGCCTGCTTAGCTTATCCTTGGCCAGCAACCAGGGTTAGTTATAGGCAGTAATCCAGCCTATAATTAAGCCTCATAAGAGAACTTGGCAGGTTCATGGAGAGTGGATCTATGGACATTTAAGGCACCCAAGATAACGTGCTTCTGCATTTAAAAGACCGTTGTCCTTCCTGTGGTCATGATTGTCAGTGTCTCAGAGATATCTAAGCAGCCACTGTAGATAAAACTCTGAACCCCACAGGCATTTTGTCCAGTTCAGTGGACCTCTGATGTTCTTGAAAAAAAGGGGAGCATTTTCATGGAGTTTGGTGCTATGGATCATGACATGTAAGACTTTTGAACTTCAGATTTCGGGGGTAAATAACAAGAAGTGGTTGCTTTCGCACTCTAGTTGTAGCTGTAACATTTGATTTGCAGTTACAAACAGGATGCTGACTTACATGAACGGTGGTCTGGTCCAGGAAGGCAACTGTTCAGTTTCAATAAGGCCAGAAATTCAGTAATAAACATACTTGGTTTTTGTGTTTTTTAGTGCTTTAGATTCCAGAATTGACTTCACTGTGTACTATAATCGGTAACTAACAAATCAACTGTTGTGCTGAAAAAAGCTTCTTTATCATTTCGAATGCATTATAAAACCTGTTCCCTCCCCCTTTTTTTCCCTGCACAGGTCGGTTCCAAAAAGGAAGTTGGTGAATGCAAAAACAAGTTTGCAAGTTCAAACGATCCAGTAGTGAGCCAGACATTCACATTGGACAGAGTGTTCAATCCTGAAGGGAAGTCTCTGTCCTCGATGCGCGGCTTCAGATACTGCAGCTGGTCTCCGCTGGGTTGTGATGCAAATGGCCGGTGTCTCTTAGCTGCTTTGACCATGGACAATAGGCTGACCATCCACGCTAATCTGAACAGACTTCAGTGGGTGCAGTTAGCTGACTTGACTGAACTCTATGGAGAGTGCCTGTATGAAAACAGTTACAGGCTTTGTAAGACAGAGACTTCCCAGGAAGACTTAGGGGATCTCTCTGAATTCCAGAGGAGACACAGCATGCAGACCCCGGTCCGCATGGAATGGTCCGCCATCTGCACCATCCAGCAGGTGAAACATAACAACGAGTGCCAGGATGTGAGCAGCGTGCTCTTGGCCGTGGTCTTCGAAAACGGGAACATTGCCGTATGGCAGTGCCAACTTCCATTCACAGGCAAAGAATCCATCACGTCCTGTAATACCATCGAGTCAGGAATCAGTTCCCCCAGTGTTTTGTCGTGGTGGGAATACGAACATAATAACAGGAAAATGAGCGGACTGATCGTGGGCAGTGCTTTTGGGCCAGTTAAGATTCTCCCTGTCAACCTTAAAGCAGTCAAAGGTTACTTCACCTTGAGACAACCGGTGGTTTTGTGGCAGGAAATGGATCATTTGCCGGTGCAGAGTATCAAGAGCATTCCTCTCTACCACCCCTATCAGAAATGTAGCTGCAGTTTGGTGGTGGCGGCAAGAGGCTGTTATGTCTTTTGGTGTCTTCTCTTGATATCCAAAGCAGGCTTGACCGTCCATAACTCCCACGTGACTGGGCTCCACTCTTTGCCAATCATCTCCATGACCGCAGACAAACAGAACGGTACTGTCTACACCTGCTCTGTGGACGGGAAGGTCAGACAGTTAATTCCCATCTTCACAGACATTGCGCTAAAATTCGAACACCAGTTGATCAAGCTGTCGGACATCTTTGGCTCTGTCAGGACCCATGGGATTGCTGTGAGCCCATGTGGCGCATACCTGGCTGTCATTACCACAAAGGGCATGACCAACGGGCTCCATCCCACCACCAAAACCTATCAGGTCCAGTTTGTAACCCTGAAAACGTTTGAGGAAGCAGCTGCTCAGTTGCTGGAATCGTCTGTCCAAAACCTTTTCAAGCAGGTAGACCTCACGGATCTTGTCCGCTGGAAAATCTTGAAAGATAAGCACATCCCACGCTTTCTGCAGGAAGCTCTGGATAAAAAGATTGAACATTTTGGGTCTGCGTACTTCTGGCGCTTTAAACTGTTCCTCCTACGGATTTTGTATCAGTCGCTGCAGATTCCCCCTTCCGAGGCACTGTGGAGGCCGACCCACGAGGACACCAAGGTCTTAATAGCACATTCCCCTGGAGCAGGCCGTAGCGAGGAACGTGAGCAGGAGGAGCCGCCTTCAGACCAGGGCAGGCAGTGTCAGAGTGAGGCACCCAAAGGAAGGGTCTTGGATGAGTCAGCAAATACCTCTCAGTCAGTCCCCTCAGCCCGGGAGCAGATGGAAGAAAAGCTGCTTGAGATCCAGGCCCAGATTGAAGCGGTAGAAATGCATTTGACCCGAGAGCATATGAAGCGAGTGTTGGGAGAAGTCTACCTCCATACTTGGATTACAGAGAACACCAGCATTCCCACAAGGGGGGTCTGTGACTTCTTGACGTCAGACAAAAGCTACGAGGACAGGACAGCACGGGTGAGGGCATCTTGACATCAAGACCATTGGGTTGTGGAAAGATCTTGATTGGCTTATGATTTACATAGACCGTACTGGCTTGTGCAGAATCAAATGTTTCTGGTTGTGTACTCACTCTTAGTTTATCGCTCCCCTTCCCCCAAAAAAATTTAGGAAAAGAATCTGAATTTGGATGTTCTGGAAAGCTGTTGTTTCCTTGTGAGTTTCGGGTTAGTTTTGCCACTCAGGACGGTAAAATTGAGGTCCCCACGTTCTTGCTTTCTGTTACGTCCAGACGTGGCACCTGGGCTTGTTGAAATGCAGGATTAGAAATGGGTTAGTCAAGAGCGTTGAATCTGAAGGAATGGCACTTGTGTTTTACCTTATAGCAGTGCTTCTCAGCCTTGGGAACTTTAAGATGTGTGGACTTCAACTCCCAGAATTCCCCAGCCAGTCCAGCCTTCTACAAAACTCAAGTTCAGAAGTAGCATTACTGGCCACCTCTTAAGGGGGAATTACATTATTTTCTTTTGGTGGATAATATAAGGCAGGTAATCCTGAGTTTCTTTTTCCGGGGCTAGGTTGACATTTACTTAACTGTTCTTGCATTCCTTCAGGGTGATCTCCACACTCCTTTACAGATAACAAACTCTGCAACTGTGGGCAAACTCTGCATAACTCAGCTTTAAACAATGGAACTATAAAAAGCAGGATGTTTCTTAACCTGCTTTTTTCTCCCCAACACATACACATTATTAAGAAGTAGATTGAAATCCTAATAGCACCCTGTAGTCTGAAGAAGCAGAACTGCTGGTACTGATTTGTCTGTAAATTATTGTAAGAAAACTGCAGTATTGTCTAGAAGTGACAAGCGAGGCATTATTGGGTCTAGAAATCTTACCTTTCTCTCTCCCCCTTCCGCCCCCCTGCCTCCCTTTTTTCTTGAAATCTCACTAAGGTTTCTGCCTCCAAGGCCTATCTCTTTGCTTAAGTTAATCTGCAGCAACACTTCCATAAATAGGCCTTTTCCATAAATAACAAGCATAGAGTTCAGTGGTTGCCAGAACCCCCTTCTCTTTCCAGTAGTTCCTAAGCAGCCAACATTTGAAACTCCACTCACACAAGAGATCAAAAGAGCATGTTCCAAGTTACAGCATTCTGCTCTCTAGACAGTCACCTGTTCTTAAATTTCTTCTCTTATATATTCAACCATCCATTCTTTATTCTTTTTTTTCCCCAAGATGAGTGGGAATTGTGGCAATTTAATTCCTCAGCAGCACACACAGAAATCATGCACTCTGCATTTTGCACACTTGAGATACCTGTGGGGTTTTTTTTACCCCCCTCCCTCCTTATTCCTTTAAATTCCATTTTAAACAGGTTTGGGGATTTCCATCTTGAGCTCTTCAGAAAGAACCAGCTTCCTGCGAGATTCCTTTCCCTTTCCGTATGCCGCTCTCTCTCCCTATAAGCGCTCTTGCTATGTTTTCCCAGGTACTGATTGGGCACATCTTAAAGAAGATGAACAAACAGACGTTCCCTGAGCGCTGCAGTTTGTGTAAAGAGATCCTGCCGTTCACAGACCGCAAGCAGGCTGTTTGCTCCAATGGGCACATTTGGCTCAGGTGCGTTAAATGGCTTCTCCCTCTTTTCCCCATCTTATGATGACTTGAGAAGAGGCCCAGGCAGCAGATTTGAAATGTGTTTTTGCGCACCACAGAAGTGTCTGCTAATGTGAGAGGCGCTGGAAAAGCCTGATTGGCCATTAGCTAGCCAAAATCCTTCCAAATGCTGTTTTCTAAGTTTGTGGTTGCCGGCCCAAGTGTCTCACTTTGCCCCCCGGGCTCCCTTTAACTCTCCTTCTGTTCATGGCAGACATAAAACAATGGTTTTAGTTTCTTGGAAAGCTTAGCATGTAATACTCAGAAGTGTTTTTCACATCAGATTTTTCAGCTTGTGTAGTTAGCACAAAGTGTCCACGTCTGATGTTAGAATTTCATTTCTTTTAGCATCTGTCCTTGTACTATTGGACACGTGAACATTGTCTTGGGGATAAATTCAGTAGATAACAGGAAAGTAAAAGGCAAAAGAGGAATCCTGGTGTAGAACTGGAATTATGGGAGCTGAGTGTTCTGGTTTATCATCATGAAATCATTTCACTGCCGGAGTTTAAGTAAAACCCTCCTTTGAGAATTGTTTATTGTTGCTAGATTGATTTGAAGCCCAGTGATCTGACAGGTCAGTTTCCAGTCCACAAAAAATATGTGCCTTGATATACTTGTTAGCCTTACAGATCCTGCCGAACTTTTAATTGTTGGGAATGTTTGCATTTTTGTATGTTTCATGAAAGTTGGCTGATTTTTTAAGAACATTCCTTTTTTTCAGTTCTTTAATGTGATTGGGAACTGATCTGGCAGGTCTGTTAGACTTCAGTATAGTACAAAAAGTGAAAAGTGTACACCATTTTAATGTAATTTGCATGTCGAACGAAATGCTACCGTATCGCAGAAGATACTTTGAAGGGAGAGAGAACTTTCATCTTATGAACTTCAGTGCGCTCGTTGTGATATCCTTTACTCAGTAGTGATGAGTGAAATGGAACTTTCTTTGTAGGATTACAGCTGCACTTGGACATAGATGATTTAATTTAATTTATTCAATTTAGGCACTGCCCAACTCCAAACCAACTCAGTGGCTAGGTTTACACAACATACCAAATTCTCGTTTCTAGAATAAACCATATTTGGCTGGGCTCACCCAGCATACTCAGCCAGAACCAAAGAGATCTCAGTTTGGCTTAGCATCTTGTGTGATGCTGGCTGATGGGAGATGGGCATGCAGAAATCAGGGAGAAATCAGATGTTTTTAAAACTCAGAGGTCCCCAATGGGATCTTTTTGAAGCCTAATGGTACTCTGTCCTTTGGCTGGGTTCTGGGTTCACAAAATACATGTAACTAACTCAGTTCAAAATGTAGAGGCTTCATTTGTACCATGCTGCTAATCATGATTCATTTTAACCTTATTTTTTGTTGTTCCTTTCTGTGGCTTAACAACGCGATCTGAACCCAGACCCACTTTCTGCTATGGATAAAGCTAGGGGATATGGCAGTGAAAACCAAGCCCAGCCCTCTGGTTACGTTTCTGCAATCCACTTAACCAAGTTACCTGAAGATTTAGGACATGCACAACCACAACGTGCCCAACTGGGTTAGATTTTTTCCCCCCATGGCTCAGGTTGTTGTGCAGATTCAGTTGTTTGATTAGTGTTCAATTCGGTGTATTGTGCAGACCAGAAATGGGTGAATAAGGGGCATGGTTAAACATCTGGTGTGAACTGAACAGTCCTCACTGCCACCTTTTTCATAATTCATTTGCTTCAGGTGCTTTTTAACCTACCAGGCCTGTCAGAGTTTGGTGTACAGGAGATGCTTGCTTCGTGACAGCATTGCTCGCCACTGCACTCCGGAAGGTGAGCACTTTTCTTTTGACTTGGAAAGGCTGCCTGAATATCGTGGATTTGATTGATTCATGTCTTTCTCTACTCTTGGCCCTGTACTTCGTTCCTTTATTTCAAAAACAGTTTGAAACCTAATCAGAGAGAGTGCATGTCTGCAAACAGGGCCTTGTCCTATTTTTCCTCCCGCGCCACTTTGTCTCTAAAGTAACAAGAGAAAATCAGATTGCACACATTATTGTTTAGTCCAATATGTTTTAAAGAAAGGGACAGCTCTCCAAAGATCGTTATTCTCATTTTCTGTTTATCAGCCCATAATTTGCTGAAACCTTAAGGAATAAGGTTGGAGTTTGGCAGTTTGGAGCAAACACATAGCACCTTGTGCACCTCAAGTGTCTCCTCCTTTTCTTCCTCCCTCGTTTCGTTCTTCAACAACATCTTTTCTTATTTTCAGATCCTGAATGGATCAAGAGGTTGTTGCAGGGGCCTTGTACTTTCTGCGACTCTCCTGTTTTCTAGAGAATGTGTCAAGGTGGTGAGCTTGAAGCAGCATTCTCTAGTGGCCAAAGCACCATCAACATTGGATCGGCACAAAGGCTCGCTCCAGCCTGTAAAAACCCCCTTTCTGAGAGATGCCAAGGCCTTTTCTTAAGAAATGCTACCATCAGCGTTTTCGAAATGCTTCTGAACTCTGGTCAGGTTCAGCGTTGGCCCTTGGTTGTTTTCGGCAATTAGGATGTGGAATCAAAGACCTTTTTATTCCACAAAGAGATGCTTTTGTTGGAGCAAAGCTGGTTGCCCAACTGAGCAGGTACTGCTTGATGGACCGGCACAACATTGACTCTGATGCTTTCCTTCCTTAACGTCTAATGAATGTTGGCACTTACCGAACCAGAGACAATTAAATTATTACAAATAATGTATGGGTTTTTAAACTGTTTCAGAAAAACTTGCATGCCTGTAGTCAGTGAAGAAAAGTACCCATGTTGTCCATTACTAAGATTAGCAAACATGTTCTAGGCCTCCTTTCAAGAACTTCCAGGCAGACTAAAATCCCTCTGAACCAACTACGGGGAGTTTAGTTCAAAAGAGCAAATTGCACGTGCTTGTATTATTTTAAGCATCAGTATTTTTATTCTGATTTCCTCAGCTGCTGCCAGTAATTCTTCCACCACCACCACTCCTTCTCATATGTTCACCTCCAAATTTGGGCTGCTTTTCTCATTTAGCAAGATCTATCCCCTGTCAGGAGTTGTCCCTGTTCCTCCAGTTTAGGAATGGCAAAATTTCTTGTCACCCTTGGTCCCTTGAAAATCAGCCAGACATCATTCCCTCAAGGCATGCGTGGCAGTTCTTTCTGTCTCCTTAATCCCTTTGGGCTGCAGGGCAAGGAGGACCTTGTTCAGTCATTCTTGTTGTTATTATTTTAAATATTCCTGCTGCAAATAGAAAATGCCTATGTTTCCCCCGTGTTGGGTTTCTTTCAGGAGAGAAGCCCTTTTTCGTTATTAATTGTTTTAATCGGTGAGCATTGAGCACTGCGGTCTGAAATGGTGCAGCCTCTTGTTTTCCCCTCTCATTCCTTGACCTACATGTCAACAATGCCATGGAGAATATTCTTTGTTTCACCTGAGCATGGAAAAGTCTCTGCAGTTCACAGCTTTTCATTCTACTGGGGGACTTCAGTTGATTCACATCTTATTGATTTAGGTGGGCTTGTTGTACATTTGAGTATTGATTGAATCTAGCCTGATGCTCTGTAACATCTCTGATGAGTTAGTATTGATGGTTGTGAACCTCCTGAAGTCACTGATGCTACCAAGATAGTGGAGGATGTTGAGATGACATCTAGTCCAGCAATCGTGGCCAGCGATCCTGGGAACTGTAGTCCAAGATATCAAGAAGGCATCAAGTTTTCTTCTTTGGCCCAGAGATTTGCTTGCAAGGTGTCCTGGATTGGTATTCCAACAATTGAACAACATCTTGTTGTTGAGTTTAAACTGAGTGTGAAGTTAAATCTCCCATCAAAATAGATTTTGGGTGGCAAAAGGTGGGAAACAGCCATGTCAGGCAGCCATAGTGAATCCAGGACTTGTATGTGCTGTGCTACCATCTCTATCATCCTGGCAACACAGCTTGCCATAGTGACGGATGTTCCCCTTGAGGGGGAGGCCAAAAGAGGCTGAGTGGGCCAGTGGTTGAAAATACAGATTGGTTGTGTTTACTATGCATTTGTTTGTCATGCTGGAAAGAGGTAGCTCCATCAAGGGGGTGGGAAGGGTTTTTGCCAACAACCCTCCTTTTCTTGCTTTGTCAGAGCCATTCACAGGGATCCTACTGAGAGCACGTAATAGTACGCATTAGACAGTACTGGGTTAATTGGATTAAACAGCGTAAAAGGCTAATTAAATATTGAACGAAATGTTCTTTGCTAGGGTAAGATGAGGAAGCAAGGAGCTGCCTTACCTTCAGTCAACACTGCCAAAGAAACCCCAGTTGTCCTGGGGGGAGGGGGGAGGGTTGTCACACACACACCAGCTACAGCGTCCATTCAGCCACAAGGTTGGCTTTGGTTCTTCTTGTTTGGAATCCTAAAGTATCTCGTTGTCAAGCTTCTTAGAGCAAGCACAATCCAGAAAGCAAGAGATTGCAGTAAATAACAAAGATTGGGGTGAGGTTCAGAATCTTGCAACAGGAGCCTCCCATCTTCAAGGCAGAGATTCTGTGAGCATTTGAGAGCTCTTGGGTTTTCTGTCACTGCACTGAGTTGCTATTTATGAAATAAGGTGTTAACAACTTCCATCTGTTGATTGTTTTTAAAGCCAGAGTTCCGTTTCTTTCTCAGCCTGCTTCTCTCTTACGCTACTCTTTCCTCCTAAATGCCGTAACGCAAGGAAGGAGAACTTTATTTATTTATTATTTCAATTTATATGGCCATCCATCTCAAATACATAACTCTAGGTGGCTCACAGCAATTTAACTTCAACTCCCTGAACTCCCCAGCCAGCTTGAAGTCCACATATCTTAAAACTGCTCAGACTGAGAAACAACTGTGCTAAAGCAAGGCCGTCAACCACAAAAGACATAATGATAATGCACTTTGTTAATCATGGCTTATCATTCTAGGCATTGTGGGAATACAATGTAAAAAACGTCTTACCCGCTCCAGACCCGTTGCAAGCTTCCAGAGTCTGCCTGTGCTGATCTGAGCTCTTCTGGGTTCTTTAAAACATTCCCATACCTGGATCTAGTCAAGTTTTTTGTCTGTTGTTTGAAAAGCGAAAGCAGAAAAACAAAACAAGTGTGTGGCAGAGAACACATTCTGTTTCTAGCCCACCCAAGTCAAGGCAGCGTTATGAAAAATTCTCGGGTGCTCCTCTGTTCCCTTGGAGATGGTCCGTGACTGCGAATGTTCACGATGGCTTTTTCTGATAGGTGTGAAATATAGTTGGAGAATGTGTTTTGTCTAATGTCACAGCCCCTCGGTTACATGAAGCCCTTTGTAAATAAAGCAACGGACAACTTTCCCGGTGTGTGCTTTAACGAAGCAGCAGCAGAGTTGACTTCCCTGTTGTGTAATCACCATAAAGGGCAGAGTACCCAATGCGTTTGTTGTGTGGATAGCGGCCCCATGTAAGCCAAACCCTGAGGAATCCAGACGCTTTCCAGAGGAAAAAAATGAATAAAGACCTACCTTTCTCAGCAATTCTCCTATTTATTGTTTTTTCTCGACTTTTGGGGTACTGTGACGCTCAGCCTCACCTTGTCTCCCAACATACCACCATTTTCTCAAGTGATTTCCCCTTTCAGTGTTAATTCCCAGCTGAAGGAGCCATCAGCTGGAAAGACCAGACATGACTTGAGGTCAAAACCAGTATTTGGTTGTCCAGTGGGACACTGGCTGTGTCCATATATCATGCTTAATCAGGTCAATTCAAGACCTAGTCTAAAAAACTTGGTTTATTGTGTAGCTTAGTGTGTTGCCTGAATCAGCTCTTTCCGTAGCATATGATTCAGGATGTTGTCCACATTCAGAAAATGGATTGATTCAGAAACCCAGGTCAGGGTGATGTGTAAGCCCAGCCGTCTGTCGTGACATTCATGATAAGGAAAAGCTATATAGACTTGAAGAAGACAAGGAAGTATCTGTGTGTGAGAGACCTGCAGGAAATGTCACAGCTGAAGGCTAGACAGGAGACTTGAAAACATACATCCTGGGAGAAAAATTACAGCAAACCATTTCCATACTATCATCTGTCTGTCCATCCATACACATACACAGAGATCACACAATTATTCCCTCCCAACATTTATGTGGGATACAGGAAAGCAGTAAAGGCGGGAGGTAAGAAAACGAAAATTAGTTTACACCAACACAACGATCCTCTTCTACATCTTTCTATCCTTGCAAACCATCCTTAGGTGCACCACATCTACACACCCAGTTCATCCACTGCCTTTTGTTCCCTATTCAGTAAACTGCGTGCCAACACAGTCTTTAAAAACCCAAGCAACTGGTTCTGTTTCAATCAAAGGTTGATCCCCACCCATCTCTCAACTCAAGGAAGGTCCTTCCTGTGTCTGGTGGGATTTTTTTCCTGGTTCTCCAAAAATGATAGGCTAATGTTGCTCCACAAGTCTTGGGCAGATTCTGGGCCCCTCATGGAGGCTTCTGAAAAATTGGGAATATGTTACAAATGAAACAAGATTCCTTTATTTTACATTGAGTTTTTTCATTCTGCTGTGTGGTGTGATCTGGCTTGGGGGCTATTATGTCGTCCCACTGCTCTTTTTCTGCTTTCAGCAGGTGCCTGTGTTCTTCCTCCTCTCAACTCTGGGATTACTAGCAGTTGAAGGAGATCCCATAAGCAGAAATAAGCAGAAGAACAGAGGGTGTAACTAGTAAGCTGGTGGAGTGTCCATTAAAGGTTTTCTTCAAGAGCTTTGAGGAAAATCACCAGTATTTCTGGCACTTGCTTTATGATGAGCAACAGTCAGCCTAGATGGCTTTTTCTAACATCCTCAAAAATTGCAGATAAAAGATCTTGGTACTCTTACAAATGCTGATCTACAGAGCTGAGAATAACCGTAGGTCAAATGTTGTCTTGGCAATCAAGAGTTTCAGGAGTGGCTGAGCCATCATACTGGAAGATCCTTGCTCTCTGCCTGTTTCCTGCTCCTTCAGAAACTCACACAAACCAGCGTACTACACAAAGTTGCCTACCTAGGCTTGGAAGAGGCCACCCCAGAGGTGAAAGAAGCCATTTGTATCAGAAACTCTCCCATTTTCAAAACAGCTGCTTCACGTTTGAAAGCAGATCTTGCCATCCTTCTGGCCAAAGCAGGGTGTCTTGAACTCAGAAAAAAATTGCAACCCCCAGAGATTCCCACTCAAATCCACCCTCATTCCCAATGCTCACGGGGAGGTCCACTTGGGTGCTTTGTCCTTCCAGGATCAGGGGTGCCGATTCTCAAAAATTAGGAAATTCCCCTCTTGAGGAAGAGGGAAGCGTAAGGGCCAAATAAATATGTTGCCCCTTCTTGTTTATCCTCCTGATCTCCTTGCCCAATGCTTATGTGGCTGGAATCAGATGCTAATCAAATCTATCCCAGGTCCCAAATTGGTTTGGAAAGGTCGTTGTCCAATTATAAAAATCTAATTCCCTTTCTTGCCTGCTGAACCTTTTCTAACGTTAACGGGGATTCTCTTACTATGCAAACTGGATGCAAAGGCCTCGCTCGTTTCCTAGTAATTAAATGAATGTCAATTGTTTTAGCGCTTTCCAAGGGAGAGTCCTACAAGAGTATTAGCATGGTCTTCTAACCCAGACGGCCTACCCTTCAGGCTCAGCGGACACCCTTGGGGGGGTCAACCGTTGACCCGAAACTCTCTGGGCGGACACACCGGCTGCATCTCAATGAGACTGGGTTGTTTGGCTTCGTTTCTGTGCAGTCGGCTGAGCGGAACTAATATTGTGGGCGCATATAGATGAAAGAAGGGGAAGGGGGGGAAGAGCAAGGCTTTATGGCTAAATTAATTAAGCAGATGTACCTGTCTAATTAAAGAACCGTTGTCCTCCCTTGTACTCTCGCTCGCACGCAGCAAACAGTATTTAAATGCGTGGCCGAGCCGTTTTGCCTATCAATATTTAGTAGGAAGACTCTGATGCAGGTGATATTAGCAAGATGTACTGCTTATTTATTATTAATAGCCAGCCTTCCAATTTATGCACAGGAGTGTATCTTTACAATCATCTGGGGGTGGGAGGAGAAGGAAGCAGATGCTCATGTAAGCAGCCTTGCACAAGCGGAAAAGAAGTGTTACAAACCCTTCAGGATTGAGCTGCGGGGCTGTTTTTGCGGGGGGACACACCAACGTCATGCGGTGTGGCTAGGAAGTGTCTTAGCTCACCTGGCCTGCTGTAGGTGGCTAGAGGCAGCCGCCGGAAGGGGGAAACCTGCCTGGGGATTCCTGAGTGTGTGAATGTCAAGGTAACTTACCTGATAGGCAGGCAGAGCCCTGTGCTGGGCCTCCTTGTTGGAAATCTGCAACTGTGTGCATAGAAGAATAGTGGAGGGGAGCCAAGAGTATGCAGAGAAACGCATAGGTTCAGAGGCAAGGCAGTGGCCAGATTCCTACTAAGCTGTGTGCCCCATGGGTACAACCAACCAGGGGTGGCATATCCATGGTGTGCTTTAGCAAGCCTCATCCAGCTGGGCGAGGTCAAGGAAGCAAGGGTTAATGTAGGATGTCAGTAATGCTAGTTTTGGAGTAAGTACCAATCTCAGAATTCGCAAGAATTTCCTGGCTTCATTTATAGTATGTTCATTTAGGTGGGGTCTCCTTGAAGGATCTGAAATGCTTCTTCCCCAGCTTCCCACCACCTGAATTTGGTTGCCATTTATGAGATTAGCTGCCAACAGACACATCTTATATCTCATGGTTGTTTGTGTCTAACGTTCCTTCCTTAATTCCCCCAGTCTAATCCCTAATCTCTTAAACTCTTAAGTGAAAATTTGCTTAACTATGGCTGGCTGGGGAAGGCACGTATCGTAAGCCACAACCAAGCCCACAAAACATGGCTTAGCAAAATGTATAAAACCAACTACTGTGTAAAAGCCAAGACAACAGCCGGAAGAAACAAGGAGAAGATGGCTACCTAGACCACCAGGAGGGAGGCAGTATGTGACCAGTTTCATCCTTGTGGGGAATCGTCAGACGTAAGTAGCCAGATGTCATTCTATAGGATTCAAACCCTCTGCTGGGAACTAAACTCGTGAACCTTTTGTCAGACTAGATCAGGAAACTGACTGCACGGGAAGGCTACTTCACTGAGCTAGGCTGTAATAACAGAATCGTGCAAGTCACCCTGTGTTTTCCCTTCCCTCCCTCTTACATTTCAGGGAGTTAGAGAACTGGTGTGAGTCTCTTTCTAATAGTCCCCATCTCCTCGGGCTTATGGTGTGCTTCTGCCCCTGTTGTTATCTTGATGGCTTCTCCAAGATCATCTCCATGGCTCCCTACACCTTTGCACTTTAGTTCTATGGGGTCGACCTTCTACCAAGAACTCAACTCATGGACCTCTGCACTTCAGTTCTATGGGATTCAGACCCTCTACTGGGAACTGAAATCACGGACCTCTGCAGCTCTGTTGTTGTTCTGAATTTTAAGCTCTGCTCTAAGAACTTAAAGGACAGTGGACTGTATATACCATTCTATAGAAGGAGAGAGGGATAAACCACAGGATGGGCCTACTAGAGGAATAAGGCCAGACCTGAAGGCAGAGCCAAGACAGTTCTTGGTTGGAAGAATAGCAGTTTTTTTTTGCTCTTCCTCCAACCAAGAAGCTCATATAACATCACCCTCAACTGCTCTGGCTTATCAGAAAAATAATATTTCTTGGATTACAAAGGTGATTCTGGGGGCCACGTTCCTTTGGCCAGAACTGGGGTTCTAGGAATGAACTAGAAATGTACCATTTGAATTCCCAGGGTTACATTCAATCCCTCGGAGTTTTGGTTGAAGCCTCAGAGAACTCTAAAAACTATCCCCAAATGAAAATTTCCAAAGTGATAGGAAGGAAAGATATGGGAATCCTTGAATGGGAACTTTCTTTTTTTCCTGGTACAATTTAGCAGGCACCCCAAAGAACTTAGCTGAAAGACTGTAACACCATTGTCCGCAGTTCAAAAAAGCTTTTAATAGTGTTATCTACACAGTTTAAACCAAAGAAGGTAATCAGGGTAGAAGGGAATCAGATTTTCAGCAAACACAAGGGAGGGCAAAGGAAGAAGGTATCTGTTTCCTTCTACCCAAACAGCTTGGGTTCATCCAAATTTCTGCCTACTTAACAATCCAAATATTAACTTTTAAAATTTCCCTTGGGAAGAACAAAGGGATAAACAGATCATAAATTATTTGAGGAAAGGAACAATATTCTGCCCTTCAAAATGTGTAACCCCTCTCCAAATACCATTTTTTTAAGCAGGATCACTTGAGGGTTTTACGAATAGGAGCGACTTGGTCTTTTCACACGGGAAGGGAAATAAAAGCAACTTTCTACTTGCAAAGTTTTAAGAACTTCCAACTATTTTTATGGCTTTGCTTTAACTTCTCTACTTCGGGAAACTCAAATTACTCTCTTTTTTCAGCTATTCTTAGATGGAGAGTTGTTTCAGCTTCCTCACTATGAAGGCTGAGATACTACAGGTCCCAGAGCTCTTTGACCGGGAGTGGATTGACCACATAACTCTCTATGTACTCAAATACCGTCTGGGGGTCTTGATCGCCATTGATAAAAATCGCATCTTCAAACGATTCTTCCAAGCCGCTGGAAAGCCTGAAATACAGGTCCACTTTGCTCTTGATGGTTTCTTCCATATCCTTTGGATTAATCAGAAGGCGATCATTGACTTCCTTTGTAATGGCAGGTTTACACAGGCTGTGATACCTGGAAAAGAAGTGCAACAGTGGGAAACTCAGAAAAACGAAGATGTACAATGAGCTCCCAGCAGACCCCATGTCGTGTATAAGTATTTTATACATAGCTTTAAAACAAATCATTTCATACCCATCCCAAAAACCACTTTCATAGGCAGACCTCTGCTATACTGTTCTTAACTCTTACACTCTTTTAATGACTCTACATTTTTTTTCAAGGCCGTTAAAAGGGTCTTCTGCAGACCTCGATGTTTTTCAAGCTCTTGTTTTATGGACATTTTAGCTAAATAACAGCGGCACTCACAGCCAGAGCATCAGGGAAGTTGCAATCTTCTCACCAAGGGGAAGATGGAAAATTCCGTTCCAAGGGTCTTTCTACATCTCCAATGGGTTTTCAGGAAGAAGTCAGGCAGAAAACAATGTTCTAATCAAGGAACCACCAAGGAGGAAGCCACACCCCCACCAAAACTGGCAGGGCAAGCTAATACATATAAACAGGCAGCAAATCCCAGCTCACTAGCACTGATGATGGGTTGTTGAGTAGTGAAATGTCTGCAAGCAAACAACCAAGCTCAGAGAGCATCAAAAACTCCATGAAGTCATGTCTTTCCACTGAAAGGAGGGCTATCTTCCAGAACCAGGGGATTGACTGATTGATGGATTGATTGATTCCCTTCACTCTCTTCAAGGATGGCTACTCAAAACAGGTCCAGCTGGAAACAGTAATCCACTGTGGCACTGAGCACTTTTTCCACTTGGATCAACCAATATTGACCTGCTGTTTGTGGTTACCTTCTGGTTAGAGGTAGCGGTTAGATAACTCTGGAGCCTTTCTGAAAGGCTGATGAAAACACAAGAGACACTTCTATCATCAAGACCACAGCATTCCTTTGTTGGGGTTTGGAAAGACAAGTAATGTGAGTGACAATCAAGTACTGGAGAAACCTTTTCCCTGATCCTGACATTGACTTGGAGATGGCGATCTCCTCCAAATTAGCACCTACCAGAGGAGTGCAGACCTCAACTTTTATCACACTCAGCCACTGGCCACCTGCCTGGGAATTCTGGGGGGCCCATAGGCCTGGAAGATACCAGGTTGAGAAAGGTCAGCCTAAAATATGATGCAAATCAACTCCTGGAATTTGTAGCCTCAAGGAGCGGTGGCTTCAACGGCTTTAAAAAGGAATCAGCCAGGGTGCAAGAATAGCTTATCATCAGCTATTAACTGTGACGGTTCAGAAGAAGCTCTGGGTACCAATACAGCAAAGATAAAAGAAGGGGATGGACTGTTTCCAACCTGTGAGATCCAGTGTTGTAGACCCTGTCCATGTTTCCTTCTGCTTTCCACCAAAATATTGCCACTCCCAATCTTACAAACTGTTGCTCTTCCATGCGCACGCGCACACACACACACACTAGCAATATCAAGTAATACTAACCTTTCACCGCTGACCGGATCCAACATGTGGTAGGAAAGCCGCTCCAGAACTGTTTCAACTGGGACGTTCAGGAAAAAAACCCTGTGATGGAGATGAAGAATCAATCGTCACCTCTTGTAGTGAGAACAAGTGGATTGTTTCCAAGGACCACCCAATCCTTCAGAGCCATTTTGCTACATAAATGTTGTCGAAAGCGGATTTAGACCAGGCCAAGCTAGGCTGTTCATTCATTCTGCCTTGCTCTACTCCATTAAAAAAAAAAAACAACTACTGCTTCAATGCTCTTCAGTAATTTCAGCATCTCTTCATCATCTGCTGTCTGGATCACTTCATTTTCTGCACTCAGAGACATGAGGGATCAGTGAGATCTCTCTAGGGCTGGCTCTGGATTTTATTCTCAGTTTGATTAATCTAGCCATCATTTTTAACATCCCCTCTGGCTGGGTTTGCATGAAACGTTTAACCCAATGGCTGAGTAAGCCTATTGTCTGAGTCTATACACACGGAACCCTAAACTAAGCATATTAATGAGTCAAGTCACCAAAAAAAACCCCACTCAACAAGGTCAACTCTAACCAAGTTTCTTCCGTTCTGCCTCTGCAAGAGCTGCTGAATGTTTGAATGGAGTGGGGGAGCGTCAAGACCACAACAGAGTTGGTTAAAAAGGATTTTCTTGAGGCAATTTTGAACAGAAGAGAGAAGGTTGCTACTGTTGTAGGGACCAAGTTCGGCCAGCAACATTAGGAGAAAGTTGCATGCAGATAACAGCACGGAGAGCTAAGGAAAGGCAAGATCGAATATGCAAAAGAGAAATCTGTTATACAGTGGTAGAGTTCACACAATATACTCAACCAGACCTAGGTCTTAGCAGTCATATTCACATCACATCCTACCCACAGGGTTAATGTCTTGTACAAACCAGTTTATGGTTTGTATCGTGTGAATCCAGCTATATGGGCTTATTTGGCCAAACAGGTCAAGCTTGTTGTAAGAAAGCAGATGGTGCTCTGTTTTTCAACTCGTGCCCAATTTGTAGGAATTAATTTATATTTGGAGTTGGAGAGAAGGGACAGGTTGGAATAGGCACTATGCGAGCTATTTTCACACTCCGTTTTCTCTGCTTCGCTTTTATTCTGCAATTTTTATTTTTTACTTTGGTGTTATGCCTTTCAGACTGGTTAGCGTAAGCTTTAGACATTCACCAAAGGAAACATTTTACATCTGCTGGAGAGGATCGAATCAGATGAAAGAGGGAGGTTTTTACCGTGCCAAGCATATAAGAGATTACGATGCGCCTTGGTAGAACTTAAAGTTATGAAAATCATCCTGTTTGCTCTTCAAATGTTTACAGATAATAACTTCCATTCCCATTGCAGGGTTTAAAAAAAAGAGAGAGAGAGAGAAACACAAAACAAGCTCAGCCTGGCATGAAAAAGCCGAGGAATCCAATGATTTCTAAAGACAGGAGAAGAATATACAGTTTCCAACAGTCTTTTATCTCTTACACTCCAAACATTTTGTTTCTGCTTTGTTTCTATTGCCCAACAACTATAAGGAAACACGATTGTCAGAATGAATAACTTGTGACAATGTGTCTTGAGATGAATATTTTAGCAGAGGCAGAGAAAGGGAAGAAGGGGGGGTGGGGGGAGATGCCTGCTTATACAGCCCTGATAATTGATACTCTTTCCCCATTATATTTCCAAATAAACAAAACAGAACACACACACAAAAAAAGGGAAAGGCATATCAAGAAGGCTTGTCGCGAACGTGAGAAAAGGGGAGGGGAAAAATGTAGCAGAAAACAGTGAGCGAAGAGCTTAAAAACACCCTCTCCGCTTTGCAAAGCCACCAACAAAACGCATCTTGGACGCGTCTTGTCAGAAACCTCCTTTTCTTCTTCCAATATATGTATGTTTGGGTGTCTGTCTTATTATCCAGTGTGGTGTCAGCATTCAAGGCAAGCGGGTGGGGAAACGTTGCACAGTGGGAAAGGGGTATTCCATACTCTGCCTCGAATGACAAGGACCAGACTGTCTTCTCTCCTGGCGTCACCTACCGCCGGATGAGAGCACGCCGAGGGGAAAACAACAGGTCACCCTACGTTCTGCTTCCAAGGCAGATCATTTCTGTGAATGTGGGTTACAAACTTGGGGTTGGTGAACTGTGCCTCTTGGGGAAAGAGCTTTCGTTCATTTTCAAGTGTTCCTCGCTTTAGAGAAGAAGCTAAGGGGACGAGAACCAGAATTTTAAACACGCAAGCAGGGTGCTCGGATTGCAGAAGAAGACATTGCCCTGGAATGCCAACGTGAAAAAAACAGGGCAACCATTGGGGAAGAGAAAGAGACGTGGAGGGAGGGAGCACGGAAGAGCAGGAACACCTTGGTGGTCAACAATATGCAAGGGCTAATTGATCTTTTTGAAAACTAGGTAAATGACAAAGAATAGTCAATCACAAGGAGGCGATCAGAATGAAATCCAGTCTCAACCAAATGATTTTGATCCTTGGAGGCTCCCAAGGCCCATCGTCCAGCACAGCATGACTTCAGTTGAGAGCTGGGATCAAGGAGAATGTCAACCTTTTAAGGAGGCGGTGGTTCAGTTTTACCTGCACCTAATTTATTACTTTAAATTTATAACCCATCCCAATTTTAGCAGACTCTGGGTGGGATACAAGGAAATAACAACAAGAAAAAGAACCCACAATAAATATCTAATTAAACGATCCAAACCCTAAACATTATAGATGCCCGTAAAACTAAACTAGTAATCGCAACACACACTGTTATGGGATCTTAAATTGAGTCCGGAAATAAACAGGTGACAGAGTCAGATGGCTCAATGTTGGGAACGAGAGACACAAATATATAGTCGCAATGTAAAGAAGAATAAACCTGAGCGGAGGATTACATCTCAAGGCTTCGTAATCTCTACACCAAAATGGTAGCAGATCCAGATGTTCATTATCCCATCTCTTCGCAAGAGAGAATGGTGCAGGATCAAAGCCATGAAAATCCAATCAAGGGAACTGAGTTAGACACGGATGACAAAATCAAGGGGAAGAAAATTGGAATTTGGGAACAGGACCTTGGATAGCTCTTTGTAGGCCCCACTGGTGAACATTTGTCCATTTGTGGCTTTATCTGCATAGGATGCTCAATTGTAAACTTGGTTTAAGAATGGCCCTGTTCACATGGCATGGTAAACCAAACCAAACAAGCCACAGTGTGACTTAGTGTGATCATTCCAAATTGGGTGAAGGGGTCTCAAAATGACAAATACGACTCCACATTCATAAAAGAAGGTCTCTTCTACTTTAATGAGATCTGAACTGGCAGTGGTTGATCAGAAGCAGAATCCTGGAGTCAAGTCCATAAACTGTTGTTTAAAACAAGAAAAGAAAAATGGGGTTACACTATAGATTCATTTCATACATGGCAGATTTGCTCACTTCACCTGCTGGCTGGAAAAACGCCAAGGATCTTGTTCTCATTTGGGGAACTAAGAACAAACTGGAGAACATGATTTGAAGCAGAAGCCCACGTTTGTTTCAGAAGCTATCGCCCATCTAGCAAAACCTGTCAGAAAGGGGTCTCAGAAGGAAGATTTTCAAGTAAAGGGAGCGTAGCTGGCATTCACACAAGATGTGTGTCCTCATCATCGAATAAATGTATTTTTTGAGCTTGCACTGATTCAACTCACTCAATTAACACTACAAAGGGATTCCACTTTGAAGGATTAACTTCCAGAAAACCATCAGATCATTCCTGGAAAGGTCTGATCATCATGGTCCAGAAGAGGAACACATTGTTCTAAAATGTTTTGTAGAGAGCTACCCTAAATCACAAACATACAGGCTGGGTTCTCATAAGCCCCTGAAGAATAAGGAAGCTCTGAGTTAAAAAAATAAGCAAGCATAACACGTTAATCAATGCAATGGCTAGGTTAACTGATCTGGTTAAGTGTGTTGCATGAATTCTAAACCAGACGGGTTCCAAGCAAAAGCCAACTGGCCAAGTGATTTGAACTAGCAGCTAACAGTGGAGCCAAGATTGTAGGAAGATCATATTAGGAGACAGCAGAGGAAAGAAATACTCAGGAGATGACCTAACCTCTTGATGGCAGGAAGTTCCTTCTAGTTGGCTTCTTTGTTTTGGAACCAAGGTGGCCATCATTTCCTAGATGTGTTGGTTGAAGCTAGATCACCCTCTCTGGTGGATGTGGATATATTATTGTTATTATACTGTATATATTATTCCTGGGCTTAGGAAGGGGGGGTGGACCTGATGGTGTCAAAGACTCCCTCCATGTAAATTGGTTGGTTGGTGAAGATGGTGGAACTTGCTGAGATGGCTAAATTGACTTCTTTGGTCGATTTGAGGAATCCAAGGTCCTGATACTCAGTGAATGAGGATCAGGTCTGGGGATTCAACAAAGCTTTGTCACAGCAGCCTCTAATGCCCCCCTTTTGCTGAAGACACCCTAGCTGACGTACCTGTTGGTGGCAATAACTACATTTCCCAAAACGCCTTGGTACATTCCCTAACCTGGCCCTCATTGGGGGCATTATGAGAAGAGGTAGCAAATTGATATGACAGCTCCAAGTTGCCTCAGAGTTCTGGAAGATGGAAAGATGTGGAGCAAGCAGTGAGCAGCCCTGACTCCAGGAATGTTAGAAGCTACTTTCCACTCAGTGCTTTTTTTTTTTTTTTACAAGAAGATGCAACGTATATTTTACAACAAATGGCAGCGCAATAGGAAAGCCATTCATCAGATGCTCCCTTTTTAAAAAAAAAATATATTTCCCTTGGTTTGCATGGACCCCTTTCCCCCTCGTAACCTTTCTGCTCCACGTCCTTTGCAAGCCCTGGTTTAAAACCGAATGGGTAATTGATCATGCTGTAGCTTCTCCCAGCTGGGCTGAAGCTATCTTCAGAGACACATCTGGTTGGGACAGATCTCCTGCAACTACTGTCCTTAACTCCTTGATTGCCAACTGATCCTGCCTCTTCTTCCTGCAGAACATCCATGGTCTGAGAAGAAGATTCAGGAGAAAGAGGAAGGGGTTCTAGCCTTTCTCC